TTAAAAATTATTTTTTTATTTTGTACAAACAAAATAAATATATTGAAAAATATAAAAACAATAAAAAATTATACTTCAGAAGTTAATTTAGTATCAAAAACGTAAAATATTTGAGTAGCCGAAGACATAGCCAAAGATTACAGCGCCACAGCACTGGCGAAAATTTAAATTTGTCGACTGGAATTCCTTCGGATAACCGACGTTTCAGATAACCGACCTTCGGATAAACGACGCTCTACTGTATTATATAAATTTGTTTTTTTAAAATTATTAATTATTAACAGTTTTTTAAAAATAAAAATGTATATAATATCAATTATAATTATGCAATGATAGATAAAAAATGAAATCTTGCAATTGACAACTATCATTTTTTGGCAGCCCAGTAAAGTAGTTATTTAGTGAATATACAGTATGTTCAATGAAGATGGAAGTGTTTATTTTGACCAACAAAATTGCCTACTTCCTGTGAATGCTGAAGCATTACTGATCCTCCATTACAATTTTTCACTCTTGAATTATGATTATTAGGAAATAATATTTGCTCAAAGTTTATTAAAGCTGTATTTATTTCAAAAAAGAATAAATAACCAATATTCTAAATACCAGAGTTTTAATTTTCTTGTCATTCTATTTTGTGTTTTATTTTTGTTTTCTTCCTTCTAAAATGAGATTTGGCCAAACCAATATGCCTTGAGAAAGTATTTGGTTTGATATTGAATTTGAAGTATTTGGCCAAATACTTTAATAATGCTGAATAAATTTATTATAAATGTGGTGATATTTGTATCAATTTATATTAAAATGTAAAAGTATTAGATAAGTTATAATTTTAAATACACTGATTTGTTTTTTCTTTTTAAATTTATGTAGTAAAATGTAAACTACCATCACCTATTAACAATGGAAAAATAGATTATCAAAGTGCTACGGACAATGAAGTATCAGAAGGATTTATTTTAACATTCAGTTGTGATAGACTATATCATTTAATTGGTAATAAAACTATAAGATGTCTTGAAAGTGGTAATTGGAATAGTTTACCTCCAAAATGTATAAAAGGTACAATTAGTAAGTTTACTATTAAAAAATTTATTAACTTAGAAAATTTTTTTGTTATCTTTTTGTTCATGATTCATGTTTTATCAATAATTCCCCTAATTAACAAATTAATTTGATAATGTAATTATAATTGTAACAATAACCATAACCATAATTATAGTAGTATACGTATATTTCTTTTCTATCTGCTTACCAACAGCCCTATTTTTTATAAATTATTCAGAATTATTTGTCATTGTCTTCAAGATTACAAGGAATACAAGATAATTACAACTAGCTATAATTCTGAATATTTCCTTTAAAAAAAAAAAAAATAGATAATAATTTAGATTATTTTAAAATTCCATTATATTTTCATATATTTTACTCAAAGAATTGAATTTTTTTGTCAACTCTGTAATATGTTTTCTTTTTCTATTTTTCTTTATTCTATATTATTTTTATAGAAACATGATCTTTTATCTTTAACTTTTATATTTAATGAGAAGTATATAAATATTTTATATATTAGAACTTTAATATTTTGTGAAAATTAGTGTTAAAACATAAAATTGGATTTTAAAGTATTTAAGATCATTAAAATAATAATAAGCTTTCTACTCAAAATAATGCTGATTTTCTTCTTCACATTAGTTTTTCTCTCTAAATTTTACAAATATTTTCATAGCAGTTTTATTTTGATACAATTTCTATATTTAAATGAAACAATATTTACTACAGTCAATGTTTTTAATTAAAGGTCCAGAATAGAGAAATAACTATCTCATTTAAATATAAAGTTTGCATTGAGATAAGGTGTAAATGAATTCATTAAATTCATTTACACCTTGAAGTTACAGACAAAATGAAATGGAATTATGTGTAAAAATATTGAGCTACAAGTTGTAAAAGTTTAGTATGTATTTCTGCTAATATACATTGTAAAGTATTTAAAAAATTATGTATTTGTGTATTACTAGAAAAAATTGATTAAAATGTAGGAAGAGAAAAAGTATAAAATTATTACATTTCTTATTTTTATTAGATATTATTGAAATTACTTGAATTTATATGTAATTACCTTTAATCTGTGCTTCATATTTTTCTACATATATTTCTGAGAAACATCAGTTTAAATTTTTCTGCTTTTTTTCTGGTTAAGAGCATTTTCTACCATTGAAGTCATGCAATATTCATTATTTATATTTATTTTTATTTTAAAGTAATAAAACTGATTGCTTTGATATCAACGGGGTGCATCATAAACATTTCCTGGATATGCCCAATTGTGACAAAGCTTGATAAATATTACATAAACTGATATAATGCTTAGTTTAAACTAAAATTATATATAAAGGGGACATAGCTCAAGAATGAAGAGAAGAAAAGTAAACCAATAAAAGAGAATCAGAAAAATGGAATATTAATTGGCTTGTCAATTAGAACATTTAATATCTAAACATATTTAGTGATTAGTCCTTGGCTGTTTTTTTTACAAAGGGAGAAAAAAAGAGAAAATTTTTCTACACTGATCATTTCAATTCCTAAAGTTATTATATCATCAGTATGATAGTCCTCCATCCCAATGTACAAAGGAACTGAAATTTTGTATGTTGAAACTATCAAAATTTATCTGTCATTTATTCTTTATTCTTTTTCTTCATGATCTAGAAGTACCTCAAGAAGGTCTTCAAAAACTAGGAAAAAGTACCGTGTCAATCCTCTCAAGTTACCATTAAATACCTTGCCTTGGTTATCTTATCTAATCAAGTAATCTTGATGAATGACAAAACCATATTCTTTAATCAACTTCAGTGAAGTGTATGAACTGAAACAAGCCAACCAATACTGACCAGTGAAAATAAAACAAAGAATAAGTGGGAAAAATAAGATAGAAACATGTGGTATGAAGTGTATCACAATTTAAAGTAGGAAAAAAACGGAAGAAAAAAGTCCTTATTCCATTAGGAAGAAAGATAATTTAAATCCGTTTTTTGTTTTTATCTTTCTAAAAATACTTTAATATTGAAGTAATGTATTTTTAATTGATTTTACAAAAGGATATGTTTTATATTTCCTTGTATAATTAATTGAAAGTACAAATAAAAGGATTATTAAATTGAATTGTATGCAATACACTCTGATTAATTGAGGTGGTAATATTTTTTATAATTTTTAATAATTCTTATTAATATATGAATCATTTATAAATATTAATTTTAATTGACCTTTTTTCATATCAAATATTTCTATTTCTATAGTAACAGCCTGTGAAGAACCACCTAAACCAGCTCATGGTATAAAAGAGATATCATACTCTCAATCTGTTGCTATTAGTAGAATTGCAGTTATAAATTCTGAGTAAGTTTGCTTTATACAATATTCATTTTACAATTATGATATACATGTATGAAAGGAAATGACACTCACAAACATGTTTTCTGTTTAAAATATTAAAAAAATCTAGGTCTGGAATATCAAATTATCAGATAAAAGGATTAATTGTAACTGCTGAATTTATTGAGAATAATAATTTAGATAATATAAGGTAATAAAGTTTAGTAATAATTACATGAAGCTGATATTACAGGTATGCATTATCTATCAAAAGATTTAGTAACTATATGTTGTTCAAACACAGATGTCATGTAAACAAAACAAACATTGCAAAGTCAAGCTAGGGCTACTGCTTTAAATGTATATAATTATCTTTACTTGTTTAAATTTACTTAGTAGTGATTAAAAAATAAGTATATATCTTTTAGAATTAAATGACAATGTTTGTGTCATGTATCTTAACTAAATGTCATAATTATGTAGATAGGGGATAATTACTGAAAATTCATCATGATAAAATTCATATAGTAGTATTTAATAATATCAATTAAAGCATGGATTGAACATAAAGAAAATGAATGAAAGAAATCCAAAGGCAAGGTTTATGTGTTATTGTTTTTGGTAATTATAGGAACTACCACAATTAGAGAAGAATATGTCTACAGCATACAGCAGATGCTTTATAAAAATATTCTTAGGAATTTTAGACAAAGGAAAAGCTGTTTATTAAGTTTGTAATTGCAGTTTAAAATCAGCATATAGCATGTCCATGCATATTCCACATTCCATTTCAAATTTCCTTTTAAGCACAAATAACACTGGGTTATTTGCACAAAATTATTGTATTAAAAAACATCAGTTATTTCTAAGTTAGAGAAAATTATTTTTTTAATGCATGTAAAATCTACATGATGCACATTAAATATTTATATAAAATTAAATTATAGTATACATACATATTATCTATAAATATTCATTACTAGTATAATATTTGCAGTGTCATAGTGAAAATTTTCCTGTAGAAAGTTTCAAAAGGTATAAAATATCTTTGAGGTATATGAAGAGCTCAACGAAAGAACAATCAAAGTCCACTTTTATATGTTTGTAAACTGAACCTGCAATTTTGTAAATTACAAAGTATAGAATGCAATGGTGATGTCAGTTTAGTGAAAAAACAATCATAGTTCTCTCCAGAGCCATGTAAAGAAAATGAAGTTGTTGGAAAAATATAGTCCATTATATTTGCAGAAAGAACAATCAAGATCCAGTCAAATAACTGCAGTAACCAAGGAGCATTATTATGTAACAATGTTCTGTTCAACTGGAAAGTATAAAAGTCACATTTCCTATAAGATGGCATAGTTATGTGGAATGCAATGAAACTTTCAGTTTAGTAAACCAAAAGTGAATTGTTTGTGTGCCAGAAGGCTGGATGAAAGTGTTTTCCAAAGCAACATAAAAACAAACACCATTTTATGTGTTAGAATGCAAACAGGACATGTTCAAGAATTACAATAAATTTTTACATTTATTTTATCTATGACAATCTCTTTTTAGCATTCAAAAAACAAGGGAATGGAAAATAAAATCAGTGGCTATCCAAACCCTACTACATCATAATGCATACAGTGGACTTTGGTTTATGTCAAAACTCACAAAACATACTTCCAAGGGTGTTGAAATATTGAAAAATCTTAAGTCTGCTCTTATCCCATTACCTGCGGCAAAATACAATTTGCAAGCTGTAAAGCAGTTTGAGGCAACAAAATGCCATAAATACTTTGACAGTTTACCACAATCTCGTGATGATTAGTGGCTGAATAAATACTTTTTTCTAATTGCGTGACTTTTATCCACATTTTCAGCTTTAGAAAGGTTCAAACATTTATTATGATGGGAAAAATTCTGTTGCTGTGTGTAGTTTCAGCTTGGCAAGTTGTCAAACTTTAAAATTAAAATTGCTAGTTTTTAGTAAAAGTGGACTTTTGAACTCTCTGACTTTGTAAAGCTAGAATTCAAAATTTATCCACAGATCTTGTTATAGAATGGCATTATTTCGGCACTTCAAAAAGAATAAATTTACAAAGAATGGACAATACTGTACCTTCCTCTGTCATTCAGTGCCTCAAGCAGTTGGCTACTTTGGTTAGGACAATGAGTATATGTAAAATATATATAGATGTGCTTATGAATATATGCTTTGTTTTAAAAATTTATATACATTTTTATTTGAATTTATATTTACATTAAAATATATTCTTTAAAACATCACTAAGATAAGCATAAAATGCAATATTGGACTTTTTCAACAAGTAACTTTTGAAAAATTATCTTATTATTTAAATTACAAAGCTTAATTAAAATTGTGTAAATTGGATCTTATTGAGATTAATGTTGTAATAAATCAGAATTAACTTTGGCTTTTAAAACTATTGAATTAAGAAAATTTGTTGATTCACATTTATATATTAACAATTTTATGTATAATTTAATAAAGTCTAAGATATTTGCAATACCATTTATTCATATTTTGAATTTTATTATTTTTTAAATTCATATCAGAGTTGTAATAAATCAATCTTTCGTAATTTAATTATTAAATTAATTAAAGAATTGTGTTCTTTTTCATAAACGATTAATTTTGTACATGAATCTATTTACAGTTTAGCAACAGATCTTCCTCCAACACATCTTTCAGAGCCTAAGAATAGCAATACAGAAGATGCATTACCTGCTGGATTGTATAAAGTTGGTACTCGTGTTAAATACAGTTGTGAATCTAGATATTATCAATTAGTTGGATCACAATCTCGAAGATGTACAAAAGATGGCACTTGGACTGGAAGGATAGCATCATGTATTCCAGGTTGTGTCCATGTTATCACGTTATTGTAATGTAATTAGCTCAATTAAGTTTGATATAGAATATTTTAATTTATAAAATAGTATTAGACACTTTAAAATTCAGTAATCTTTCTTAAGAAACTTACTCGTTTTTCATATGTTTTTCTAAGAAAATAAATTTATTTTCTATCTTTAATTAATTTCCTATTTATGTACTGTACACCTCATCATCAATAAATTAAATTTTATTTCTTCAGCATTTTATTAATTTATCATCAATACATCAATTTATCAATTTAATTTAAATTAACTATAATCAATATTTAAAATTATAAATAATAAATCCAGAAATGTAATATTTAATTAATGCCAATCTGTTTGGCATTAATTAAATAGTGTCAAACATTATAATTATTAAAATTACCACCATCTATGTCTAGTCAAATTACATTATATTTAATTATTAATTTAGAGTTACAAGTTAGATCAATAATATGGCAGATTGTTTCACATTATTTAAAATTAACTGAATTCAGATGGTCTTCAGATGAAATTCAGAAATGAATGAATGTTATTGATTGGTTTAATAGTTTTTTCCATTTTTGGTTCTTTTCCCCCTTTAGGCCCTAAGAGGGCTTTTTTTTTTTTTACCATACCCATCATGGGTGGTGCAGGATGGGACCTGACATATCCAAGACAAACCACCCATGAAAAATTCAATCCTAAATCTCCCAGAGTGGTAGACTGACATATTACTATCTCAGCCATCTAGTCACTTGATTCGATACTTAAAAATATAGATATCAAGATTTTCTTTCTATTAATATACATATTTATGTTTTCTTCTAAAACTAGGTTCCCACCTGCAATGATATTGGCACCATTTGAGTTTTTGTGATTGGTACCAAAAAATATAGCCACTGTGTACTTTTGCTGGTGCAGATTATTGGCACCAATCAAGTGGCGTCACCTAAATTTGTATGTTTCCACATGCAAATAAACTGTATCTGGTCTATTGGCATCAGTAACTATTGCCTGTGGAAACCTAGCTTAAGACAATAAAAGAACACTTTATGATTTTGAAGGTGCCTCTTTATCATGTAGACTAAAAGTGACAAATTAAAGTTTTTTGAATTTATAATTTTTAGTCTACATGATTCATAATACTTTCACTAAATTTTCACTAAATTCACCAAATTTCCAAAGTCAAATGTCAGAATGATGATGTTCGAAAATTGCTTTTTTAAATTTTCAAATATCTCATCACATGAGGCAAATTTATACGGTTGTTTGACTAAAACTGTTATGATAAAATATTGGATGCTTTCCTAATTTAGAGAAATACAATCTCTCTTGTTTATGCTTGTTTTTACATTAAATTCATATTAATTAATATCAGTTTAAATATATTTAATAAAACCATCATATTGAAAAATATATTAACTTATATACATTATGTATTTTAAAAGTATCGAATTAACTAACTAATAATTTTATTTTATTTTATTTTTAGTCTGTGGTCGTTCAGATTCAAAGAGAGCACCTTTTATTTTAAATGGTAATGCAACCGAAATTGGTCAATGGCCGTGGCAAGCAGCAGTGGCTCGAGAAGTTCCAGATTCAAATAAATGGTTTCTTTTATGTGGAGGAGCATTATTAAGTGAACAGTGGGTCACTACAGCTGCTCATTGTGTAACTAAAGGGGCTACAAACAGAATTATAGAACCTGATAAATTTAAAATTTATTTAGGAAAATACTATCGTGATGACAAACTAGATGATGATCTTGTACAAGAAAGAAAGGTAATTTTTCTACATTTTAAATATAGGAGAGGAATGGGACACTTTTGGGAAAAGTATGTCAAAAACATAAGTAAAGAAAAAACTCTTGAATCTTTCTCTTTTAGCTTGTTAGTTTGAATCATCTGTATCTTCTGAAAAGTATTGGAAGTTTTAATGCTAACATTTGGTAGAAAAATTATAAGTTTTGTATGCTGTGACAACTGTCCCACTTCTCCCTAATAAAAGGGAGGAGTGGGATAGTTCATAAAAGGATAACAAATTCACATAAAATTTGTATTAAAATATTTATTTAGCAAATATAAATAGTTATTACTTATGTGTGTGTCTGTACAATGTTAGTTTTACTGAGATTAGTCATACTATCGGCACAAGGTTTTGCTGTAAAGTATCTTATAGTATTTTGCAACAGTATTTTCTTGAAATGCTTGATTTGAGGTATTAAAAGAAAATTTTACTATATGATTATAAATAAACAATTTATTCAGAATCCTGTGAATCAACATTTAACTGAGAACATAAGATAATGAACCAACAATCACTGCAAATATTTATTGGATATTGTATGCAGATAAATTAATGCATTTTTCTTCTATAGATTTCACTTTGTTCAAGAAGTCATCAATATTCTTTTTATTGAAGCTAGCAGTTCTTCCTAAGCTAGTGGCTTCTGGTGATTGCAATGAAAGATGTGAATGACGTCCCATAAACCCCTTGAAGCAGTCATATCCTGCAGTTTTATTGAGATTACATGCACTTGGATATGTTTTATTCAAGGCAGTGGCAAACTCATACGTCAAATTTCTTACCTGCACTGTTGTCAGGCCTTAGTGTATTTTACTTGCACTAAGCAAGTAATTTCTTAACTTTGCTTCTTCCACCACAGAGAAAACCATTCCACAAATGAGGTTAGACTAGAATACTACAGACTCCTGTCTGAAATGCTATTAAATTTTTTTACATGTTTTACTGGTGCTGATTTTGATAAATTCATAGCTTTTATAACTTTCCTTATACTTTTACCTTGTCACACACCATGTTCACTGCTTAAAGAATCATAACTGTTGACTGGTATTGATTTTGTTGGATCTTTCTTTTTTCATTTATGTGGCATTTTTGCTGAAAATAAAAACAAAGACTATAAAATTTAACACCATATCAGGAAAATTGTTATGAAATTGTCCCATTCCTCCCTATTATGCAGTGACCCAGTCCTCCCTACTGGGAGGTTTTGTATTATACTTACTATAACTAAACATATGGTGGAAATAGCAAGAAAATAATATAGCAAAATTGTACTATTAAAATATTGCTTTCAATTCTTGTATTAAGCATTAACGTTATCTTAAACATAAAATTTTAGATTACATCAGATATTGGTATTAATATTTACCTCGAGCATTGTAATGTAATTTTCTCTTCTAAAGCCTCTTCTGTTGAAATAATTCATCAGACATTTTATAAGAAAATACAAGTGCTGTCACTCTCACTTGGGGACAAATAAAGAATTACAATAAATAAATAGATCGGAAAAGTGTCCCACTCCTCCCGGTGTCCCATTCCTCCCTTGTCTCCCCTATTTATTGTAAGAATTCATGCATAAGTACTTCATATCTGTTAATGTTTATTGTTTAACAATGGATTTATATTAAAATTATATAATTTCTATTTTATAATTTCAATATCAAAAATTATTTTAAGACATAATTCAAAGAATTATTATTATATTAAAGAAAGAGTAATTTAAAAATTTAACTTATTTTCATTTTTAACTAATAGAAATTACAAATAACGAATTCATAATTTGTAACAATGACCCGAAACTGACACAAATCCAGTTACTGCTATTGGCATTGTTTGTTACAGCGAACTGCCCAATGACAGGAACTGGATTTGTATGATTTAGAACTAGTGCTCACTCAGGGACTAGATGCTTGTGAAGCAAGGTGGTGACAGGAGGGTGCTGGAGTCAAGGTCCTGATAGAACAGTCCCTTTCATCTATTAAAACAGTTAAGAAGAAACATTTCATTTAAGTTTCCAGGTGTAAAGAACAATGTATGGTAAGGACACAAAGTGTGAGGTTTATGAAAAGTTTTCTAAGAGTGTTTCCAAGCTTTTCTCACACAAGGAAAAATGGGTTAGGGGCATGGGTATATGATTGGGGGCATTGAGTATAAGTTTATGGAACCAAGGGGCTCAAATTGATATATATTAATTATGTCTGCTTCTATGCTGATCCCTTTGCAGACCAGTTCTATCCCCATGACGTATAATTACAGTCAATTCATAAAATTTTAAGTGCTATAGTTTGTTATAACAGTTATTCATAAACAAATTTTCTAATAATTAACTTTATTCTAATATGTTATAGGTTCAAGAAATTCATATTCATCCTGATTATGATCCTCATCTGTTTGATGCAGACATTGCCTTGATACATTTAGATGAACCAGTTACTTTGACAACAAGAGTGCAAACTGTATGTTTGCCAACTGGTACTACTACTAGAGAACATTTGGTAGATGGAAAACTTGGTATAGTGAGTAGGATTTTCTTATTGATTAAACTGATAATTCATTATATAATTTCTTTTCATTCACTTGAAAATACTTATTATTTGCAAGTAAATAAAAATACAGTTGTCCCTCTATAGTCCGACGTTTTTTAATCTGACATGCTCAGTAGTCCGACGCACCTCCTGTCAAGGTACCCGTCCCCATTACGTGTCTGCTTGCACAGAAGCATGTTGCGATGTGAATCTCTCCATCCAATTCTTACTCGTCCCCATTACGTGTCTGCTTGCACAGAAGCATGTCGCGATGTGAATCTCCCCATCCAGTTCTTACTCAATGACACACATTTCGTGTGTTTTATGTGAGCAGTTCTGTTCGAACAGTTGGAGTAGAGAATATTGTAAGTTACTGCTAGCAAAACAATGCAAAATATGTAATTATTTTCGGTAATCCGGACACTTTTGGTAATCTGACACACCTTTGGTCCCATACCTGTCGGATTATCAAGGGACAACTATATTTGAATTTTCATAATTTTGAAAACACTTCAGAAAATTATTCTGTTAACAAGAGTAAATATTTCAAAACTATTTGAGGTTTGTGATCACTATAAATTAATTCCCTTAAGAGTTAAAGTGCAATCTGTTTAATAATAGTAAAGATTTAAATTTTAAGAAATTGTAATAATTTTTATAACAGCATGGTTGAATTTTCAGATAACTGGATGGGGCTTAAATGAAAATCAGTCTTATTCCCAACAATTACAGCAAGCAGTATTGCCGGTTGTATCTTACGAACGTTGCGAAAAAGCTTATGAAGATGCCGATCTTCCACTTACAGTCACGGAAAACATGTTTTGTGCTGGTGCATCCAAAATTAATTCGGATTCCTGTAGTGGCGATAGCGGAGGACCTATGGTATTTGCAGACGATTCTGGTCGAGAAAGGAAATGGGTATTAGAAGGCATTGTAAGTTGGGGATCTCCCAGTGGATGCGGAACTGCAGGCCAATATGGTGGTTTCACAAAAGTTTTTAATTTTATAAATTGGATTCATCATTTTTTATAAATTTTTCATTACAATATACTTGATATGTTGAAGAATAACATCAGTTCAATTCTAGATGTTACATTTAATGGATTATTATAGAATGAATTATTCTATTTATCAATCAAATATACAAATAACCATAAAATAAAATTTTTATTTTATAATTTTAATACAAGTAATGGAATAATAATATCCATGAATATGTATAAATATTCATTTACTCTATACAGTTATCAACTATTTTCCAAGCACCAACTGATGATGAAAATAAAATGCAACCACTGTCATTTGGAATCCAATTAGCTGGGCATTCTATATTAAATAAAAAAAATTCATTTTAATTAATATATATATGGTAAAATCTGCTCAATATATGTTTTCAAACACACTTATTTTATAATTAAATTAAGTCATATAACCTTGGTTATAGTTAGTATTAGCATATAACACAATCATTTAACTTGGTGCTGGCTAATTTTTGCAATATCATCTTTATACACTGCATGAATTACTATTAACTAACTTGAAGATTTAACATTTCAGTCAATAAAACCATAAAGGAACATTAAATTTCCACTAATTGTAATCTTATAAAATTAATTGGAGTAAGTATAAATGGATTTTACTGCATAATAAATGCTGATACTTCTACTGATATGATTTTGATTAAAAAGTTATCATACATTTTTATTAATTAAGAATTTTAAGATTTAAAATCAAATTTTTCTTTTGTTAATTTTTATATTAAATATAGAAAAATAGGAAATAACTACATTAAAGAAACAGCATAAATATTACTATTCAACTTTTTTATTGGGCTGCAATTTGAAAAATTGTAGTCCTATAAATTCCCACTGTTCAAGTCAGCCTGTCTGTCCTTCCTTCATCTTGAAAAGTGTTAGATAGGTAAAAGTTGAGACCAGATATGGAAAGCTTAGGGACATAAGGCCCTGATTAACTATATACAAACTTCCAATTTGGGCTGGAAGTCATGTTATTTCAATTAAAAAATTTTCTCCGGGATGAAGTTAGATACATGACTGACATAACTTCATTATTAACAGGAAAGTATAACGTACAGGGGCAATACAATACTAAACTTAAGTGCATTGTGAGCATCATCACAATAAATAATTGCTCATTCTTAAAATAACAATTTAACTTCATATATATTTTTCTTAATATTATTATACCAGTTGTAAAAAAAATGTAACAATCGTCTGGACCAGCCACACCAAGATATTAGATTCTTAGTATAAAGGATCCAGATTTGAACCTGATCCCTGAACCTGAACTGGAAAGAAGTTATTCCTATATTTTGCTCATTATGGGAAAGCCTGACCCACAACAAATGTCTTCATTGTGAGTCTCATAATGAATATGATTGATACTAGTCATAGAAGCTCAATGTAGAGTGCTGGAACTTTACACTAATTAACAAATGAGGTACAGTTTATGTCTAGTTCTCAAGTCACAAATGATCACAATCCATTCTTTAGAATGGAATGTGGTCATTTGTGATTTGTTGTATTAAGGTTGTTCACATAGTATTAGCATGGCAAATTATAACCCATATAGATAGTCTGTCTAACAAATTAACAAGAATTTATAATATTTCTTGTTTTAGAATAAAAAGATTGTGATCAAGACATAAAATAAGTTATTTTTTTAGATTATTCAGAATTTTACAGTAGTAAATTATAATTGTTTATAAAAACATATTACAACTATTTAAAATAAAACTTATTACTTTCTCTTTTTCTTTCTGGTCCTCCTTCTTTGAAACTTTCAAAGCGAAAACTTTTCACTTTTCTAGAAATGCTGTAAACAAACAACAGAAATAATATTATTTTCAATAATAATTTTTCCCCAGGAGTCTTAGGATTTTAAAATAAGTAAAGAAACAAACAGATCCATAGATGTGTTTAGTTATGAGTCTCCTTTTCTTGACTCAAAGAATAAATTGACAAAGTAATTGGAAGTTTTATGCAACATTTACAAGCAATTTCTGCAATTGTTTTTTCCAGTCTAGATATAAATAAAAATAGAATCTCAAATCCAATTTTGGTAAATATTAATAAAATTAATAAAGATAATGCCTTGAAATAGCAATACAACATAAATTCTCTTTCAAAATTTGGTTAAATGTATGACATGATCATTCGAAGCAAGGGAGTATCAAGTCATTCCTAAACATGTACCTAACCTAAACTTTAGAAAATGTTTGAAAAAGTTTCTCTATTAATTTTTAATGTAAACTGATAACAACCCACAAAAAACCTTTTTAACGAGTGTTATGTCACTATTAAATTCCACAAGTACTTTCGACCTCCACCGAGGTCTGCTTCAGGTGGTGTCCCACGAAAAACCTTTGTAACGAGTGTTATGTCACTATTAAATTCCACAAGTACTTTCGACCTCCACGGGGGTCTCGGTGGAGGTCGAAAGTACTTGTGGAATTTAATAGTGACATAACACTCGTTAAAAAGGTTTTTCGTGGGTTGTTATTAGAAAACACAGTGTTAAGTTGTTAGAAGTCGTTTATTCTTAATGTAAACTGACTTGTATTCAAATGAATCTTTGAGTTTATTGCTCATATTTAGCATCAATCTTTTTCATTAACTTACATTTTTTAACTGTTTATTTCAATTTTCTGAAATTGTTAGATGATCTTTAGTTTCCAAAATATTTTAATGGGAATCTATAAAAGATGAAAAATTATTGAGGATGCTCTAAATCACTTCTTCAGAGCATCTTCAAACAGTAATGGGTCAAATTTTAATGTGGATTGATACATAGACATCAATGTCTAAAGCAAGGTTTGAAACCATGTTCTTAATAACTGAAAATAATAACTTTCAGCTGATTTAATGATTAGAATACATTTACATACTTTAATTTTAATTACATTTAATTTTTTATGCAAGCATAATATATAACTTATTTAAAAACATTCAAAATTGATGCTTATATTTTATATAAAAAAAAGTATTCTTATTGAATCTTACCTCTTAGAAGAAATTTCTGTATTGGAGCCAATAAATTCAGAATAAATTCCATTATCAACCACGGTCACTTTACCCCCATTGTTATTCAAAACTCTGGCATGAATAGCAGCTCTACAGACGGAAGACTCTTCGGTATAAATAGACGTGCCCCATACATCACCATTGGCTTCTTTGCATCCATTGGGACAAGTAACACTGAAAATTAATTCCATTTAAAAAAACATTAATAAAAAATTAAAAAAATGAAATATATTATTTGAACTATATAAATTTAAAAGCAGATTTTTCAGCTAGAACTTGTAATTGTATTAACATAACAGGTATAGTTTAATATATTAAGATTATAAATTTAAAATATTTTAGAACAGAAATATAGAAGCAAATTATTTTAAATATAACGATACTAAATGTTTTTCTGTCAATTCTTTTATAAGCTGAAATGTATGGAAAATTGTATGTACTGTACTTCTTTGAAGTTAAGCTCTATTCTGTATTGAAAAGAAACCATTATTCAAAGTATTATTTAAAAAGTTCCTTAATTTAAATTTAAATCCATTTCAAACCACTTTTCTTGTATGTACTGTTTTAAAAACTAACAGTTTTAAAAACTAACAGTTTTTAAAACTGTTAGTTTTTAAAACTGTTAGTTTTTAAAACAAAACAGTTTTAAAAACTAACACTTCAAGCTATATATTTGTAATGGGGAATTAATGTTATGAGGAGCATATAGCAGTCCCTTAAGCAAAATATGGTAAATGGCCCTTCAAAGTGTAGTGTATGCTTCTCTTATGGAATCTAGAAAATATTATAGATAGATCTAAGCAAATTTAATGAACAAAAAAGGAAAAATATTCCAATAGTAAGATATAAAAAGATTTATAAACAAAATAAAAATCATTAGTTGTAACAAAGATTTGTTGCAATCAATGGCATAAGGTTTACAGAGAGTATTTTGGTTAAATTAGATTCAGATTAATAAATAAATAAATAAAAATATATATATCTTCCATCCACCAAGTTTATTATATCTCATAATTGATGTCATTGGACATATTTTTTTTTTTTTTTCATATTATTGGCTAATTACAATAAAACCACATTGCAAAATGATAAGATGTAAATTTTCTCAAATTATTCACTTTTATTATATAAAATAAACTATTTAGACTTACTTTATCTGAGTATTTTTTCCATACTTCATTAAAGTACTAGCTTTGGTATGGCAATTTAATTCTCCCGTTGTTATTACTGAAAATATCACAATTAAATTAATGCAATATTGATGTTTTTTTTTAATAAATACTAATACATAAATAGAGTTAATCTTTCTGAATTGATATTTAAATTTAATTTTTTTTTACATTGGCTTCATAAATCATAATTTTTCATTCTCTAATTGATATATTATGAAGTATATTGTCATAATAACACTTATCAATTTACCTTTTCTAATTTCGCATCTTTCTCCTTGGTATCCGGATGGACAAATACACGATCCGTCTTCTTTGTTACAAGTACCTCCATTTTCACAATTGCATCCTTAACTCGTAAAAAAAATGTGCATTTATATTTTAATTAATATATCGAGCAATGCTCCTATTAGGTTTCTACATTAAAATACAGTAAATCGTATTATTGATGAACTTACTTCCATTGCACCATCTTCCATATTTTCCTCGAGGACAAGCTACGCATCTGTCAACTCCATCTTCGCATTCTAAGCAGTTAGAAAATCGAGCACAAGCCGCTTCGGGGGGATTCCAGAAATGGCATCTTCGTAGCAGAAATTTAAGACATTTTAGTAATGTAGTTCTAAATCTTTTGAAATATTTGTTTTGTCTTTAATTAACGAGTCAAATCTTCTAAACATGACCTGTTGGTATAGTCTAAATATGGTGAGTTAAAAGTCCTTTGCACCCTTGTTGATCATTTTCAAGGTCAACAAGGGTGCAAGGGACTTTTAACTCACCCTGTATGTAGGCCTATAATAGAAGTTTAAACATGGAAATATTTGTACTGGATTCAAAATATTGTTTCATTAATCATCAATTAGCTTAGTTGTAGTAGTTGAATTGAAGGGCCCAGTACAAGATGAGATAGGGGCCTACTTAGTTCCTAATTTCGGGTCCGATACGAACAAGAAGATCCGAAATTTTATCTCTTTAGTTTCCAATTTTATACATTATCTTGCTTCCTCCTCACTTTTTTAAATCATTTTTTTTTTTGCAATCTTATGCCCAAAATATAAAAATCTTATATAAAATATGATCACAGAATTTGTTTACGGATTAAAATAATAATAGGTGCCACCAAAATTCCAATAATTAAACTCACTGTTTAAATACGGCTTGAAATTTATAACCTGGACTTCCGCAATCGCAATTAAAAATGACATCCCTGCAATCGTCGATTTTAGTGGGAGCATCTTTGGGATACGGGAAATCGTCGGAGATAACTGACGAACACAGCAAAATGATAGAAAATACTGAAGAGAAACATTTCCAATTATTAATTTTATTAAATTATTAAGAATTTAATAAACCAATAACTTACTTTTCAAAATGAAAATCGACATTCTTGTTAATGTTCTTCTATCTTATCGACAAATCAAAAAACAAGTTGAAAGTTCTTCGAAACCAGTTTTTAATATTTCATAACATCCTGCAAGAATCTTTTTAATTTTTTTCTTTTAGGAAATACAACCTTTCGCTTTCTCAGAATGTTTTAATGGTCGTATTTTAAAAATATAAAAAGTTCTTTTTAATTTAAAAAAATATATATATATTGTAACAAATGGTGCCATCAAATTTACCGGGAAAGTTAAGCAACTCGTTGCTGAATTTTTAAACTTTTTTTTTTTTTTATTGAATTAGAATATATATAAGAATTAAACAATATATTTAAAATATAGCGTATTGTTTAATTCCTGTATTTTTTAACCTATTGTGTTCTATGTAAGAGAGTAAAACACATTACTGTATTTATTATTTTTACTTTCAATAAATATTTAAATTTTTAAATAGATAAATAATTAAATTTCCATTTTATTTTATTGTTTTTATTCTGAATGCACGAAAATTAAGAAAAATCGCTGCCAGACCTTAAGGATAGCATAGCTCACCATGTGTGTAGCATTCCAAGGCATAACATGCAGCCATTGAACACGCTGTTTTACGCATTCAGTTCAAATCACGATGGGCGCCATTGTCTGCTATCGTAGCAAACAACGATGGCCATCGTGTTTTGAACATGTTTTGTTCACATTAGACAGATAACTTGTGTAGCTCATTGTTATGTTCAGTGGTGGTTCTTGGACCACCACTGAATCTTTTTGCTCTATAGAAATTTCTCATCTCATTAAGTCGTTCCCAAACTTTCTGATGGATAGTTTTTGCTGTAGTCAGCTGGAAAATGTCAAGTTTAATTTGGAACATCCTGTATATATGGGGAGATATGGCGTATCCCTAAGAAAAAAGTCATATATACACTAATACGAAGTATAAACAAACACAAGGTCAATCGACACGTTAAATCTGCAATCATGAATAATTGAAAATCGACTTCTAATTTTAACTTTTTAATCATTAAAAATTTATTTAAAGTACACAGTGCATAAAATACGCTTCTAATTTAAAACAATAATTTTATTTATTCAACAAATTTTTCCAAAATCTTCATGAGTTACAGGAAACACCTCACTCGCAGGAAACTGCTTATGTACCTATCTTTATTATTAAATTTTTGAAAAATATTTCACGCATTTTTTTTTCTTTTTCACAAAATTACTTAAGGTTAATGAAATTCTATTTATATAAGAAAATTACTCAATTGATTTTTCTTCGTGTTTTTATTAAAATTCATTCAATTAAAGTGCAATTTCGAAATTCATTTCTCTAATGGCTCCTAGTGTAAATATTGATTTTGTTTGCATTTAACATTATTTTGAACGCTAAAAAATTAAAAAAAGTATTTTATTAAAATTTTTTAGTAATTTGGCCCATTTAGTGTAGTTAGCCAAGGTCCTATCTCCCGTCTCTCGGGACTCGTACGTATAAGCCAGGCTTAAAAGGTGAGATGAGGATGGAGCTAACCACAAATGTAGGAACTCCTTCAAAAACCAAAAACACATGAATAAAATCAGTAAAAACAAATTTCCCATTATTTATCAATAGAAAATTTAATTTTTATCGTGTTTTTTTTACATAAAAGATGAAATAAATTTAAATTTTATTAATGAACCCAATCGGATTTGAGGGATGAGCTGGATGCAGCTGCACTTCCCTTCTGAGGGTTTCTTTCCGCTACCTCAGGTGGTAAAAAAAATTTGTAAGGTCTATTGTTTCCTTTCTGTATCCCTTCTAAAGATTTCTGGATCCGCTATCGTCCACTAAGAACACAATAAACCTTAAGATTACAACATAAAACTTCTCGAGTACCCGGGCAAATTTGAATTAGGAGGCCCGTGTATAGTGTTTACTTCATTTTTCTTCTGGGGAATTTCTGAGGCCCCGGGCAATTTACCCATAGGATAACGAGCTGCCCATAGATATACTGTTAAGTAATTTATGGACGGCCCCTTAGTGTGGCCGTCCATAAATTACGTAACGTATTTTGGGGTGGGTGGAGGTCAAGGATTTCTTACGGTTTCTTACTCAGGGGTAGGGGGTAATAGATCGCGTCTTACGTAATATTCTTATTTTTATTTTTTGATCTCGTTGAGTGATGTAGTTTTGAATTTGGCTTCAAGTTGTTTCGTGTGACGTGATAAAATAATAACGCTAGCAGACTCGTGCTCTATACTTTTTTTTTCATGGAAGAAAGGCCGTGTGGTGGTTTCTCTCGCTCTCTTTTTTATTAGAATAAGTGCACCACTCCTATGTGTGTATAACACTAAGAATACATAAACCAAAATACACGCTACAAAGTAAACATAAAATTAGTATTCGGCTTTTAATGAAAACTAAAATGTAAAACTAGATATTAGAAATTATAAATAGTCTTTTCTTCCATGTTTTTTGAACATAATTGTAAAAAGCATCAAACAGTGGCTTCTGAACAAGCTTATCTAGTGGACGTGGCCACCTGAAACCAAGCGTAAAGATTTCTAATTTCAGAATAAGTGTATGTTGATCGTAAATTGGACAATGATAGATCATATGGTCTGCGGTGTCTAGGTTTTTTGTAGAGCAAAAGCAAGAGGCAGTTTCTGCCCGGTTATACATCGCCAGGTAGCTTCTAAAATTATCATGCTCAGTAAGTAGTTGAACAGCAGCAAACGTTAAATCTATAAGTGGTGATGAGAATCTGCATTCGACACTAGGAAAATAAAGTCTTGTTATTCTACCAGTTTTACTGCTCAATCATTGTTGATTCCAGTTTTTCATAGCCTTGTCATGAATATAATCTTTAAGGCCTTAAAAATTATATTCATGACAATGAGAGAGGGATGTGAGTGTAGTCCAAGTCAGTGTCCTTTGCAGCTGACTGAACAGCATCTTCTTCAGCTTGATAGATGGAGGTATGTGGGAAGTATCTGTACCTTCTAACATATTTTGGGCAAAATATGGCAGTTTGGAGGAAGATACAGATACTTGAACCGACACGAAGGGAGCTTTTAGACCCATCTGTGTAGATATTAATGTCTGCATGGTTATCCATGGAGGAAGCAGATGACACCAAATGTACACACTAAATGTACATCACCCTGTCACACTTAGTAGGGTAATTGCAATGTGATAGCATATGAACAGCCGTAGACAGGAGTAGAGACTGTTGTTGAGCCTTGATGTTTGTAGTTCTGATGTAGTAGTTTAGAACCTTTTCTACAATACATAGTGGCAAAGGAAGGAGCTCTGCTAGTATCAGAGGCATTAGTAGAAACAGTTCTGCAGCACTGAAATTCTGATGGCAAACTGTCTTTGAAGAGAGAATAATTTACTGCTATTGAATTTTTACTAGTTACATGACCCCAGCTAGAGGCCGCGTAAAGTAGCATTGGTTGTATTACCCCATTATATAGAGTTTTACAAGCATTATGATTTAGTCCCCAGGTACACCTAGCACATTTTAGCAGCATGTAGTTTATTTTATTGACCTTATCCAACATATAATTAATATGGCAACGGAATGTGGCTTCTATTCTCCTTTGTTTTATTTAATAATAAAAAGATTGTTAATAATTAAAAAATAAAATTCTTAAAAAAATTGTTCATTTGAATTCATTAAATTTTTATATTAGGTCGTAAAGAGAACCGACTTATATGGATTTGTCAAATTTCCAAATCGTACGGTACTTTCTCAATCATGAAAATTTTACAATAATTGGAAACGAATGTTTACAAGCTCTATATAAACTTTACGACCCATTCGTTAATTCTGATACACGTAATATGTTTTTAATATGTTTTATTGTAGTAACATCGAGGACATCTCTATGTAGTTCGTGTCGTATATCACTATCGATTGTAAAGACGTTTTACTAATTACCGCGTTTTAATCAATAAAACTTTTCACTAGAAAAAAAAATCAATAACAACTTATGTCGGTCATCTTAGTTATAGCGAGAAAATGGCAACAGAACCAAACCATTCACACATTGTTGCAACAATAGGACGTTCGCTGTAACGTGTGAATGGTTTGATTTTACTGTAAAATTAACAAGATAAAGAAGCAATTAACAAGCCAAAATTATATTTTATAGTGGATTACTCTTAACTGAAAGAAATCGGAAGTTTCTTCAAGAAGAATTGCCATTTCTTCAAAGTACAGTACTTTAAATAATTGATTCCTACGCGAAACGTTTCTTTCCAATAAAAAACTGACTACGACGATCGAGATTTTTAAATTAATTTTGAAAAAAAATAAATTCTAATCAAAAACTCATTTAGAATTCTGTTTCTGGAACAGTTTTAAATTCGATTTTTTACAAAAATCGATATTATGTAACCTTCTTCCATATAGATCTATGGATATATTTTTACACTTAATCGGATCATTTTTTAAACCTTTCTTGGGTTCTATTGGATTGTCCAGAAAGTTTTCTAGGTTTTTAAAGAATAACTTAGAAGCTTTATATTTTATTTTAACCAATGATGCATTTATTATTATCGCCATCTTTCTTCTCATTTATAACTCTTATTGTAATAGAAATCTGGGTCCTGTCCGTCAGAAAGTCTTTCAATGTTTCTTACATTATCTCAGTTTTGGAAAGTGTTTTTCCTTGTAGAGTTTTGTAGAGACTGAAATAAGTGAAAGTTAAAGGGAGCAAAATCAGGGAAATATGATGGATGCTCTTCATTAATTAATCTCTGTATGACAAATGATACACGAAGACGTGCATTGGTGGAATGAACATTTTTTGTATGGCTTAATAAAGGCAACTTTTGAGCAAGTTAAATTTATTATTGAATATAGTGTCATAAACTGTAGTTTATGATATTAAAATAGGCTCTAAATATTAGTTTTTAAAAAAAAAAAAACACATTATCAAATTTTACCATGCAGCTAACACGTTGTGTTCATTGGATCAGAATGGACTATGAGATAAGATCAAATTTAGACGTACTAAATAATTATGTTTATTCGAACAAAGCGTTATTAACATATGAGGACTCTTTTATGATGAACATCAGTTTAAGATAAAGCATAGAAAAATGCAGGCCTTCGACTGGAAATCGTAAGAGATGGTAGAATATGATATCTCACTCATGGCGAAGGGAAGACTCGAAAATGTAGGATGACTCCGGAGAGATATCATCATCTCCTTCGTTAAAAATGCGACACACTGGTGTTTGGATTAAAAATCTCCATAGAATACCTAAAAAATAAATTTAATAATTATATAAATAATCTTGATAAAGTTGTTATCAATAAAAAAAGTACATGTTCAGTGGCGATTTTAGACATTGCCAACCACGATTTTTTCTCAATCCCTCTCGATATTAAATCCTTAGACATACTCAAATTGGGTTACATATTTATCAATACTCCCCGGCTCCAGTCACTGGCGCAATTAAAAATATGGCGCCCCTAATCTCTATATGCGAGTGCACCCCAAACTAATAGTGCCGAATGATTCTATTTTATAATCTTAATTCTGCAACAATTTGTATTTTAACAGATTTTTAAATTTCGAAAGAGCAAAGGGCACCGCTATTGAAAACTTATCATTAATACTACCACTCTGTTCGTGCGAAGTATATTCCTACGTTAATAGTATTTAACTGATATGTCTTATTTTGTCCTAATTTATGCTTTTAATTTGCACTCATTGCTTTATGAATTGTTTCTAAGTAAAATTATTTTATCATTTTTGTATTGTTGGTGTTATTACTTAGAATTTTTACTCCCGCAAACTCTTCCCTCCAGCCTAGTAGGCCTAATGGAAAATCTACTACTGTCACCTAGTACTTGAAATCGAGTAGTTATTAGGATCCTAGACTCTATATAATATCAAGTATCGTGTGATATGAGTTTTACACTGTTTAAATTTATATACGAGAGGCTTTTAACGATCTAAAATCGCCACTGAAAATATGTATCGTGTGCTACACGTCATTTACTTTGTTATAGTTTTTAAGACCAGATATAGAACGCTTTGGTGCAGGAAGCCCTGATTAACCATATATAAACTTCTAATGCAAACTGGAAGTCACGTTATTTCAATTCAAAAACCTTTCTATAAAAGGAGTATTATAGATGACCTGCACGACTCTATTGTTAAAGGAAAAGTATGATGTACAGAAGTAAGCCACTACTAATTTAAGATGGAGAGCATTATATATTAAATTAAATAAATTAAAAATTGCAGCCTTGCATTGTGATGATGTCGCTCGTTTTATTTTGAAATCATCAATTAATAATCATCTTAAATCCATTGAATCGATTTTTGGTGATTCCGACACTCAAGGCTTATATAATCTCATCAAGTCAATAACTAAATTAAGTTTAATTAATATTTTTCTTTCCCGGCTGTTATATATAACAGAGTGAAAGTATGGAGATCGGTCAAAAAAAAAACGATAACCCAAAATTTGGGGTTTTTTTCTGTTGGTGTATTTGTGGGAGAGGAGAAGCACAATTTTATTCACTCTTCGATGCGAAATAACTCCTGCGCCTTTTGTCGAAAATTTCTGAAATTTTGCAGGGAGGTTTGTGTATTCGGGAGATTGGTGTTGCTAAATTTTGGTGGTTAAAGATGGTGTTACTAAATAGACAGGATCGTGTGTCATATCTCGAGTAGGGATGACTTAATGAAGATTTTATTCGTTATTAGCATTTACAGTATTTTTATGAAACTCGTTTCTATCCTCAAAATTAAGTTTTTTTGCCATTTTATAATAATTAATAATATAAAGAGGTTTTTTAATAGAATCTCGTAAGAGATGGCGCCTCACGCTATTTTAACTCTTGCCGGGAAAATTACCCAACTCCTTGCCGGATTTATTTAATATTTTACTTTAATTAAAGTTTAAAGTAAATTTAATTATTAATTAACCCCTTTAATTTATATTTTGCTGCATTCTATAAATAAAACACCCAATAAATTCTTTAACTAAAATCATTTGATAATGTCGATACTCTACAGAAAAACCTTAAGATCGGATTGGTCTTTAGTTATAAAAAGACTTTTAACAGCGGCTTTGCCTGGAATTTTATGTCATTCGAAGACAGAATAAATTGAAATCCATTCTAATCAGCAATAGGCTGTATCAAGAACCAGGTCGATGAATTGCCGTGAGAATCAAATTTCGCTTTTATGTCTTTATTTACGACTCGATTCTTTACGAAAGTTCAGAGAATTAATCGCAATTTTCTTCAGTAGATTTGAAAATGTTCCCCGACTTTTACTTTTCAAATATAGTATTCGTGTTATACGAGTCCGTAGGGACTTCTTAACCAAACGTAAACTACTGACTGTTAACTGCGAATTACCTAAATAAAACTAATTTTAAAAAATTGCGAATTTTTTTAATGAAAAACCTGACTAACAGATTGGCCAGGTGGAATTTCCCGAGTTTTCTTCCGCTTCTAACACTCGTATAGGAACTAGTTTCCCATAAAAAGTCGCCGAGAGGTCCACATGGACGAGGGCTGCCTTTTGCAGATAGCCCATGTGTTGCGTCGCCTTATTCCATTAATTCCATTTTTTTAGATGAAAAATTGAATATAATTTTCATGAAATTTTGGATATTTTTATGAATTTCTTTAGTGGTATTGAGTTATTATTTGTCATTATATTGATAACTACTAATAGTCCCATGAGTACTAAGAGGGTCTTTCTCCGTACCCATCGGGGTTCGACGAGGCTCACAATGGGGGAGGTCGGATACTGAAGGACGGAATCCAACATATTTGGGTCTGAGGTCCACGAAAAATTCTTAGGCATTTACTCGCCGGATTCAATCTCTGGTCTCCAGAGCGGTAAGCTGATGCTTTTAATGCTTCGGCCATCCGACCATTATTGAGTGATTTAGATAGGTTTTATTATTTCCTTGAAGTTACTAATAATCCTTATAGTTATTCAGGCAATTATTATGAAAGTGAATATATTCAATTAAAAAGTATTACAGACTATGCTATAAATATTGCCCTGCTAATTCTCGTATTATATATCANAATAAAGATTTAACAATAATATTTATTGCATTGTAAGATGTTGAAATAATAAAATCTTAATCCGACATTTTCAACTTTAGATATTCAATATTAAATTTCTATCCACAATTTTCCAATGGTAAATATTGTTTAAATTATAAATATATGTTTAGATTACTTAGAAATTTACTGATATAATGAAAAATATCTCATAGGCTTTCCTTGAAGTTACCAATAATCCTTATAGTTATTCAGGCAATTATTATGAAAGAGAATATATTCAATTAAAAAGTATTACAGACTATGCTATAAATATTGCCCTGCTAATTCTCGTATTATATATCATATATAAGGTAAGTTTTAATAAATACAATACACCTCTATTTATTTTATAATAATAGTTTTCTTTAATATTTTATATTATTAAGTAGATGTAAACTATTCAGGATTCGGTTAACCTATGGCTCTGATGGATCCGGGTTCGAATCCGGACGAGCAACCACTAGAATTTTTCGTACTGTCATGGATATTTCGAGCCTCAATCCTTACCACCTTACTGCCCACAATGGGGCAGCAGGGTGGTAAAAGTTCGTGATGGGTATAATTAAAAATGCCCATTTAATGTGCACAGGTTTACAAAATGGAAAAATCATTTAGACCTAAAGATGTAGGATAAAGTCAAGGCCAGTTACAATATGATCTAGGGGCGCAAAACTTCAAAATAGTAATAATAATGAAATAGTAATTTTACATAGAAACAATTCATAAATGAATTAATGCAAATTAAAACTTAAATAACAGTCGAGTAGCATCTATAACTTATATGAATAGGATATATTTTGAATAAATGATAGTAGGCCTACTAATGACGGGATTTTCAATAGTAATGCCATTATACCTCTTAATTTTATAATTACGTTAAAAATGCATTAATTAAGTTTTAATAATAATAATAATAATATATAATTTATTTTTATTATCATATACAGAGTGATCAAAAAGTCAGTTAACCGAAATATATATATATATATTTTTAAGATTAATTTACAGATGATTGAAACCAGTTTGGAACAGCTGCGTGTTCTTTCAAAAAAGCAATTGAATCACCAATAACACGCAGCTGTTGCAAACCACTTTTAACCATTCTTATACCTAAAAATATGTGTGTGTATATATATATAT